TAATTATTATTATTATTATCTTTTAATATGAGGGCCAGGTATAAAGCAGATGATTATTTCTTAAAGCTGCTCTGAAAGCCTTCGGGTCATTTCACATGGATGATAGTTGGAAAAGATATTATTTTACACCTACCTGCTCAGGACTCAGATTAATGATGCAGAAGCAGTAAGTTCTGTGGTCCACCACATTTGGCACATCCTATTTTCATTTTTTAATATCACTGGGAAACATCTGCAAAAGTTGTTCTCCACCGTAATGTTTCATAGGTGGAAACGGTCCACCTTTACACATCATATGCTACCTTTCCGTAGCCAGGAGAGTCACAAGGAAGATTTCATTTTTCCTCCTTTCCCACTGATCCTTTTCCAAAGATTTGCTGGGTTTATCTGTTGGATCATCAGCAGAAGAATCTGGCCCAAGATACTCCAGTTACAGAGAGAGTTCAGAGAAAGGTGGAGAGCAGGAACAACAGCTCTGACAAGTTCTCACAGGCTTAAAGAGGGGGCTGAAAAATATCGCAACTTCAAGTGCTTTCCAGCAAAGTGCCTACCTGCTCAGTTTACTTCTCTGATGTAGTTTAGATGTCCTCTTTACTATGAGATTAATTGTGTCCTGCTATATTGATCTCCTTTGACTGCAAAGGCAAAGTAGCTGAATAGATCTGATGATGTCTACGCAGTCAGATGAATCTCACTACAGATTGTCCATTTGTTTGGTTGTTTTTCTAATATTAGATATGTAAATAAATGCCAGGATCAGAACTATTCATCTTTTACCTAACAGCCTAGTAAATGGGAAACCCAAGATCTTCAGACACAGCTGGTCTGAACTCACATTGCTCACATTGCAAAGATACACCTTACCCTCAGACGTGCCGGGATAAGCCACCATCTGTCAGCTTTATCCTTATGCAGCCAAATATCCTGTCTCACAAAACTGGAAGGGAAAATACAGGAAGAGGGAGCATGATATAACCTAGAATGTATGGCTCTTGACTGGAGGGAGTTAAACTGGACTGTTACTAATGTTACATACATGGACATCCTCAAAGGAGGGACCAAAAGCCCATTCTGCTCTCTCCCTTCAGGGCACCTTTACTAGGGCTCTAGATTTTTCTTGCCTCATGAGGAAATCCCAGTGACCTCAAGGTCATTACATTCGTGGATGCGCAGTAATTTAGTCTCTAGTCTGTACTCTGTGAACCAGACACTTTTTCAACAGAAGAGCAGGAAAGAAGCCTGAAAATAGAAATGTGCATTTCTTCACTTTGCTTTGTTCCTGGAGCCCTTGCCTTTTACCAAATAAACTTCCTTTAGATTGGGCTGCACAGAAACTTTTAGATAGGTATCAGGGTATGAGTATTGGCAAGGGCCTTTAAATAGTGATTGAAAACTTAATGTCCATCATTTTCCTATCCTGTGACAGAAATACTCTCATGTGCTGTGGAAAACTCACATGGGACAGATAATGTGACTGGTTTTGTTTGCTGTTTCAGATGTTGGGATGATGACGAAAATGGAGTGGTGTTATGGATAATCAAAGGCCCCATTCTGCTAACTGTATTAGTATGTTTTTTTTCATTTTGTCTTGAGTATCTTTTGAATGTGAAAGCTAAGTTAATGTCTCATTTCAATACACTTGGAGAAAAGCAATAGCACATGCTATGGCGTTGAATTTCAAATAACTGGAAATTATTGTATAGCATGTGGTTTTATTGTTGCTGTTGGTTTTGTTGGTTTTGTTGTGGGTCGTTCTGTTGTGGTTGGTTTTTTTCCCCAAAACTCACCCTTAATCACAGCCTAAAGGGTAAATACTGTATTTTCTAGAGCCATGCTAGGACATAATGGAATCATCTTGACACCTCCATTCCACATACCGCAGTCGTGTCTGTGTCTCTGTAAGTCATTTCTGGAGAAGGGCAACCCATACTGGCAAAATTCTTAGATAATATGAAGCTGGTTTAATACAAAAAATACATATAGGTCATTTTATAGAGTATAGTTTTTAAATGAGTTCTTAAGACTTAAACTTCAGACAAAAAAATGTCCCTTATGCACACATTTATTCCATCTAAATTTAGGGAGGAAACTGCATGGCATGTAGGTCCGTATCTGTTATAATCCCTGTCATAAACAATGATTGGATCAGGGGGACTATTTAGACCATGGAAGATCTGCTAGGTGCTGACAGCAAGTACAAGGAGTTAATATCAGATATGAAACAATACTGAGATATGTAAGTCTATATTAATTCAACATAATTTTCAGCATATCTTTTTGTATAACTATATTGTTGGGAAAAATTAACACTATTTCTAATGCTACTGATTTGATCTGAGAGCACATCTGCACTGGTTTATAGCAGTGCAATTCGTGTGATTGGGGTTTTTTAGTCAATTTGTATCAACTGAAGATATGTCCTGATTTATATCAGATTTTACAGATTTTTGTCTTGTCTTTTCAGATTAACTTTATTATATTTATTAATGTGATCAGAATTCTAGTCCATAAATTGAAATCTCAAGAGGGAGGAGGGAGCCATTCAAGCCACTTTGTGTAAGTATTTCTGGGTCTCTTGATATTGATCTGTTCTAGTTGCTTTAAGAAAAGTTTTATGGGCAGGAGCACAAAATGTTCTACTCCTTACTAATAGAAAGAGAAATAACAGAAGAAATAACAATGTAAACTTTCCTTTTCATCCCAAATATCACATCTCTCTTTCTTCAGGGGAAAGGAGGATGGGGTGGATGTGTTTGGGACAATGAAAAAAGTAAAATATAAAGTATTACAACTCTAAAAGGACCTAGCCTGAAAGTATAAACACTAAAAGTCATGTAATGCATCCATCTTGC